GTGGGGAGGACCATCAGTCCCTGATTCTGAATTCCAGGGAGTTCAGTAGATTGAGAGCTTCAGATTTTGAACAAGTTTCTGTTCTGAGCTTGGTGCTATGTCAGGTCTAAGGAGTCTCCCTGCCATATGAATTTAGGTGGCAGATCTTCCTGGCACATCTGTCTCTGGCACATCTATTTCTGCCTGGCATAAACCTGTCTCTGTTACCTGTTTTTCATGAATCTCTCATGTGGGAAATCTCTCTGGATTCTGTCCTCCAGTTACAGGATTGGAAAGTGCCAAACTTTGGCCTATGTGTCCTGAGCGCCACCCTGTCCAAAGGGTCTACCTGTCCTTAGAGAGGACATGGGACCCAGAAAATAGGTCCACTTTCTCTCAGGAAATTCTTCCTCTATCAATGCCCCCTCTCATTTCTTCATTCATGTCTCCAAGTCCCTAGTCTAAGGGCTCCCATCACAGTGTTGAAAACAGTTCCAATAACTGGGACCTACAAAGGACAAAGGTTAGGAAGCTGAACACTTCTTCCTCCCCACATCCCATGGTCCATGGGATCTACGTCAAGTGCCCTATTACCCTGTAGAGGCAGGGACAAGAGACTCAAAGGGAGGGAGTGTACATCTATTCATTGATCTAAGGGAGAATGCAGTGTACTGACAGATGGAGTCACAGTGTTGCCTGAGCAAAGAGCAGTAGGGGTCACTGGGAATAGCTCATCCTGCTGCAACAGGTGTCTGAGAAGAGGGACAGGCTGGGAGGCAGGGAGAGGCCAGGCAAGGAATGTTACAGACCCTCAAGTTGCGACTTAATCTCAAACAAGATAGAAAAGAGAAAAATCTACTTGACTTTCACCTCAGACCTCAAAAAGTACAGAAAGGTGGAGAATCAGTGAGCACAGTCAGATGGGTACCTCAGCCAAACAAGACATATTGACAGTCTTTCACACAAACCTCTACTGACATTTCTTACCCACGACCACGTGCTGCTGTACCTGAGGCCCAGGTCAAGCCACAGCAGGGCAGGACTGGCTGACTGGAGCAGGAGAGGAGGTGGCCCCTTCTTATGTGGGAGCACATAGCTTTGGCAGCTAAGGTTAGAATGATAGTGAAGAATACCTCGGAAACATTCAATGTCTTTCCCTGGCTGCTTTGTCTCTAGGTCAAAAGACTGGATGCACATTTGGGAAGATTAAATTTAGGACAGGAAGTGTGTAAACCCAAATGAGCAAGGACCATATTTTCTGATTGAAAATAAGAATATTTATTGAGCGTTTACAGGTTCATTAAACACCTAACTATTAAGTGTTTAATGGCTAAGGTGGGAGTGAGATCCCTCCCAGGCATCCTTTAGGTTCAGGTCCTGAGGGTAGAATGGTGGTTGGGGATCTAGGAACAGTCTGCAGGGGACACACTCTTCTCCACAGTGCTCCCTTCCTGTGTGACCTGACAGATGTCATGGTCAAGTAGCTGCTAGCCATGACTTGTTGCTTTCTTTGGAAGACTGGTGATCTCCACACACTTGGTGTGGTCTCTACACCCTGTGCCATAGCCTTCCATGCCACTGCCACATTACTCGGGTGGAAGTCCTGTATCATACAAAACAGTATGACCTTGTTGGTCTGGAACTCTTCAGATGAGAATGGGAATGCGGTGACTGAAGGGACAGACTTGAGCTGAAAGCCAGGGTGGGCAGAGGAAGGAAGTCAGAGGCCTGTTCACCTTGGAGAAACTGAAATTAGTGTGAAAGAAAGGTTGTGGAGTTTTAGGCCCAAGATGAGTCCCTTTTATAGACATTCTTGGTTGAACATGGATGATATAAAGAATGGACTGCAGAATTCCCTACACTGTTGCCCATGTTACTAGAATAACAAGAGTAGACACTGTACATCATGTCTACTGGGATCTCCCTGGGGCATGGCCTCACACATGTCGTACCTCCCCTCTCAATTTCCTTCCCTGTATCCTCCTAATGGGTCTGCCTGTGTTCTCTTGTGGACTCCACTGTGGGGACAGATTTGAACTGAGACCTCTGCTCTGGTGAAGGAGTTTTTAATCTAAGGAGTCTTTTTCTCCCAGATCTGGGTCCCTTGGATCATGCAGTGGGGTCAGGGCCCTCGCCCATCAAGTGTTTTCCTGACCTGAGTTCTCTTCTTTTTCAGAGTCCAGTTAGAGTCTTCTGTGCATAGGTCAGAGCTATAAGTTTTCAATAATGGGAGCTGTTCATATGGAAATGCAGAGGCTCATGCTTCTCATCAGTGTGTTATGTAGAGCCTCAGGAGCTCACCTCCCCAACCACGTCCTTCAATCACCCTTCTCCTGACTACTTGTCATCCAGACATTCTCCACCTTTCTTCCTCCTCACTGAGCTTTCTAAGTCTTAGATTGATTCCAGGAACTATTTGTGGAAGCCCATGGAGACTTTTGGATCCCTTCTACCTCCTAGCCTATTCTGGTCCTGGATCTCGAGTCCAAGAGCCTAGGAAATCTGTCCTGGGACCCTAATATGTGGTTCCCCATATTTAATCCTGAGTGGTCTGGATCTTTCTAAATGTACTAGTTATCTATCCATCAGGGGTCCTTATACATCTTTCCTATGAGATGGGGCCTTAGTTTACCCCTTCACAAAGTGAGAGAGAAACCTCATGATGAGAGGACAGAACATGACACCTATTAGGGACAACAGAACAAGAGAGAAAGATATTTGAGTCTTAGTAGCTCATGTGGTTCAGTCCCCTTCCTCTAGATTCAGCAAAGGTAAGTAGGAGGGTCTGTGCAGAGGGAAGTGTTCAACATGGAGTCAAGAGAAAGGAGAATATTTGACTCCAGCCTGAGAGAAAACATAAAAAAGGGAAAAACAGAAGAAAATTATTCCAAACCATGGGGACAGCAGTAAGGAGGGAGAAGGAATCACTCACCTAGGACAGTCAGCTTGGTCCTTCCAGTGAACACCAAATACTGTAACACAGAATATCTGCCTTGCCCATTCCTGACCCTACAGGTCCCATGTATAACTACGCTGGAGGCAGCCCTGATGGACCTCTGCAACCTGCATGGGAGGATGGTGATCTCACTGAAAGATGACCAGTACATAATGCCTTTCTTGAAAGGGTTCACTGTTCTTGGAAATATCCTTGTTATATACCAATCACCTGCACCTTTCATCTTCTCTGTAGAAGAAGCACTATTCAGGGAAAGGAGGAGCAGAAAGAGGCACTCATGAGAGAGAGTTATAGCACAGTGAGGCCCTGGGCTGCATGAAGAATTTGGAATATCCCAGTATCAGGAGATCAGCTCCTATAGTCATGCCTGGCAAAGCCAGGGAGAGTTATCCCAGGAAGGTGACAGCAGGAAAAGGACACACACAACAGTCACAGTTTGAAACCTCAGGCCATCTTATTATACACTAAGGAACAACCATAAACAGCAACAGCACAGTAAGCATAACTAAGCAAACATGCTCATGTATTTGAGGGGGATTTGTTAAGGCTCTGATTATCTTTTGATGTCAAAGTATTACTGATATTTGTGCTTAGGTATGATAGTCATATTGTAGTTATATCCTCATCTTTCTAGGACAGAAGTGGAATATTTATACATTCAACTATAATATCTGGGTTTTACTTCAAAGTGTCATGTAATGGAGGAGCTATTCTGCTGTGGATAGATTAAAACCAGTTGAATTAAATATTTGTGGCTGGTTGATTGGAACATGGGGACATTAATATGATTATGTCTCCTCACTTTTTGTGCTCAATGTTTTCAGTAATGAAAACACATAACAAAAGGAAGAGGATGTTGAGTCTCTGGCCAAAAGCTGGAGATGGGGTACAGCCTGGTATTGTACCCAGTAGGACCATTGAGATAAGGGTGACTAGAGCTGTACACTTCCCCTTTGGATCACAGATTTCACCACCATGAAGGGGAGTAAGATAGATATTGTGTGACACAATTCTCAAATATTCTTTTGGTCACAAGTTAGGATTTGGATTGCTGGGCCTGGGATCAAGCTCCATGGAGACTCCTATCTCTCATCCTGTTGTTGACTAAGCTCCCAGAGCTTTTCCATCTCTATCACTGGGATGGTTGGTTTACCAATGAGCTCTGAAGAAAGGAGCTACCATGTCATTAACGAGCTAGAGACAATGTTGTCAGGTTCCATGGACACTGGTGTCTTGAGTCTTATAGCACTAGTTAAGGCAACAGGATTCTAGAATTAACTGTTTTTATACTGTAGCATATTTCAGTGTCTTACCTAGCTTTTGTATATTGTGAATAACTAATTCAAATGTGTGTTTAATTTTCTAAGACCTTCCATGACTTCTGATGTTAGCATGTCAAGCTGTGTTCCTTTCAGAAGATATCCTTGGCTCAGGGCTCTCCTTACCTCTGTGTTTCTGCTCCACAGTGGGTTCATGGGAAACCTTTTGCTTTCTCTGTGGCTCCTCTCTCAGAGCCACATCCTGCTCTTTCTGGGTAATTCTCCTTTTTGAGAGAGGTAAGGACTATATCTACCACTATTTTTCAGGAACAAATTCCTGCACAGCAAATTCCTACAGGTTTCCACCAGCATAGGGCATCACCCTGATTTCTTGATGGTTTGGTGGTGGGGATAGTAGGGTCATGGTAACTCACTTGAACTGCCCCTTAGCTACAACTTTCAGTCAAGAGTAGTGACCAGGCATCGATGGTACATTAGAAATGTGGTTGATACATGATTAGGTCTTCATTGAAAATAGTAGATTAGAGGAGCTTTTAACACTAATCCTCTAAGAGCTTGCATTGCAGTTTTCAGGGATACAGTGGAAGGTTTGAAAGAGGGTGTCAGAAAGAAGTTCCCTCCTAGAATAAGATGAAAGGGATGCCCTTCTGGCTAGCCCTTTCCCACTGGGTTCCAGGACTCCAACACCCCACCCTGAAGTCCCAAGGAGATTGTAAATGAAATATGAGACAAGAACAAATGAGGTACAGTATAATTTCTGATTGAAAATAGGATATTTTATTTAGCCTAGATAAGGGCTTGAATATGATGAATGGAATGGAACACCCCAACTCGGCACCATTCAGCTATAGGTCCCCGAGGTTTGGGGGAAGTCAGGGCACTAGGAACAATCCGAAGAAGACACACTCTTCTCCACAGTGCTGCCTTCATGTGTGACATGACAGCTATATGCCTTGCCAGAATTCCACTGGCCAGGTGTCATAGACAAGTAGCTGCTGGCCATGTACTTGTTATTGCTCTGTTTGGAGGGCTTGGTGGTCTCCACTCCCTGGGTGACTGGGGTGCCATCTGCCTTCCAGGCCACTGTCACAGAACCTGGGTAGAAGTCATTCACCAAACAAACCAGTGTGGCCTTGTTGGTTTGGAGCTCCTCAGAGGAAGGTGGAAATAGGGTGACTGAGGGACCAGCCTTGGCCTGACCTGCAGAGTCAGAGAGAGGAAGGAGGTTAGGGGCAATTCTTATAGCTTCTGATCACCGTCTTTCTGTGAGCCACAGGTCCTGGATACTCAGGGACTTGGGCTAAATTCAGATACGGAGGTTTAGGAAACTTACCTAATGGGAACCTTCACAGTGCCTGTCTTTTAGGGAGTTACATCCCCATTTTCCTGCACAGCTTGCTGCACATTTTCTGTCACAGTTTCACTTGCCCTCATAACCTAACTCTCTCCACTGCTTTCCATCACTGGTTGGGAGTAGCCCTGTTATCTTATCATTCTTCAGGGCCTCTCTCTGTGTGGACATTTCCTGACCAAGCCCACCTTCTGGATCACCATGTGCATTTCCAGTGTCCTGTTCCAGGTTCTCCTTCCTGTCTTGTGTTACTCTCTTGACAATACTTTCCCAGGGTCCTTCTGGACTACTTTGTATGTGTGGGATTGTCAGACCGACCCTGTGGCTAGATCCAGAGAGCTCATTAGATGAAGGTTTTCATGGGGCTAGGGTTGATCCTCGGCTGTAACTCTTCTATGGATTTCATTAACTTTTGTATATCTTTTGGAGGCTCTTTTAGTCCTAGAACCTTTTCTTGTACAGACAGATCCCTGTCATTCATTTCTATCAGGACTCCCTCCTTGGGCATCTGTTGTAGAGTCTTCAAGTGTTGGATGGGGAGATGCCTACCCTGGGCCTGTGAGTCTGAAACTCACCATGTCTAAGGTATCCTTTCTGTCCTGGGGGGAAGAGAGGCCCAGCTCCTGAGTACACCTCCACACAGGAATTTTTTACTCTTCTATGTCTCCTCTCCCCACCGTATTGAAAGCGGCCCCATAGTTGGGACCATGTAGGACAGTCCCCAAAATGATGAGCACTTCATAATTGCCTCTGCATATCCCACATTCCCCAAACCCCAGCTTGAGCCTCTCTATGGTTCCTCTTGACCCTGGAGCCCAAAGACTAAGAGAATTGGCTGACATTTCAGCATGTAAAACATTAGGATCCTTTGAGAAAAATCCAGGTCCCAGGTTCCAGAGTGAGGCCCCAAAAGAGAGTAATAAAGGAGTCATTAGATTTGTCCTCTCCTGGCCAGGGAGATAGATGCCTCAGAATGAGGACAGATTGGAGGGGGTGAAGGGCCAGATAAGAAGGGGCAAAGTGTAGAGTCCAAAGACAGGTTAAAATTTCAGCCCTAGACAGGAAAGAAAAGAGAGAAAAATATACCAAAATTTCACTCTGAACACCAAAGAAGAGGGAAATGGGGAGACTCACCGAGGACAGTCAGCTGGGTTCCTCCACCGAACACATAACACAGTGACATAGACTTGCACACAAACCCCTTTACATGCCACAGCCCAGGACAACCTGCAGCTGCACAGGAGGACAAGGGACAGCATCCTTTCACAGGAACTGCTCAGGCCACAGGTGGCTGAGAGCCAGTCAACCCTTCTTGACCTGAATCATCATCTCTTTGGCACCTGTGGAATATCTCCATCCTAAGTAATGGATGGGACTGGGGGAGAATGTTTATGCATTGGATCTTCTTTTCCTGATAATAGAATTTCTGGGAGGGAGCTGAGTGTTCTCAGTTAGCTATTGTCAGGAATATCATAGAGGAGGAGAAGGAGGAGGAAAGATGCTAATTTCTAACACAGAAATCTTGGATCTGGGTTCCCTTTGGTAACCTGGGACTTGTGTATATGGTCCAGGATGTCCCACATCCTCAGCACAGGAAGTAGTGTGACTTGGGATGAGAGTGGGAACAGTATAAGGGGAGATTGTCATTTCCCAATGGGGATGAAGATCCCATGTTAGGGTCCTGAGCTCAAGAGGACCTCCCTATTCCTCATCTGTCTTGAAGGTACAGTATTTGGTGTCACTTTGCCAGTTTTCCTCCTGAACATTTAGGGAAACACACAGCTTTCATTGAGAGGATGTTGAATCAAAACTGGTATGGCCTAAGAAAACTCCCTTGATGGTGGTGGTATGTATTGCTTGCTATAACTTTATGTGCTCTGAGTATGGGTGTCTCTGCTGTCCTCTGGACTTTTCTCTTTTGTACACAAACTCCACTGTCTTCTGTGTGAGCACATTTAGAAGCCAGCCTGTATTCACAGCTGTTACCAGCATAGGGTTCACCCACAACATTGGACCTACACTCCACACTAGAAGGACATACAGAGAATAGGGTATGGACACCAGGTCCCTTATGTCCACCCTTGTCTTGGTCCATCACCAGCACAACTAACACATTAATCACACACTTGACAGCCTGTTCTCTTCAATGACCCCTTCAGCATGCCCTTAATTCTCCAGTCCTCTGAGGTTGATCTGATTATCTCTGAGCAGCTTACTTCGACAGACCCTACCTCTTTTCTGTATCACCCTTTGTAAGATTGGGAAGTCACAACCCTTCCCAAATATCAGTGACCAGCCTTGAAGGCCTGAGCTCTGAACTGCAGGACCTTGGCTATGTTTGCTCTTGATCCCGCAAGGAATTTGCTGTAGTCTCTGACATGTGGACCTTTCCTGATCCTTCCAAAAGATGCCCACCCACCATGGCAAGGTTGTAAATAGATTGGGTGTTCGGTGCATTTTGTGTGGGCAGGTGTGTTTATCCTTAATATGTTTGTGTATGTGGGTAGTATGTGCAACATAGGTTTATATGTTTGTGCAGTAGCTCAGATCCCAATATTAATTGTCAAGAAGTTTAGTCAGCTTGCACAAAATCACATGGAAGAATCCCAGTATCAGTCTCCTACTTTGAACTCCCCAGCCTTATTGACAACCAAAGGATACCTGGGTAATAGGCACTTATGGTAGGTCAGTTAAATTCAGAGCTTCCTCCTGACCCCCACGGACCTTGAATGAAGCTAGGAAAAGAAGGACTTTTGTAGCGCTAGTTGTCCAGTGAGGAGCTAGGGTTAGTGATCCAATTCCAGCTGGTGAATATCCTGTGAGCAGTGCGATAGAGAGGGCCTATTTAGCTGATGTAGGTGCCCTTAGGGAGTATGGAGCAGGATGTGTCTGGAATGAAGAGGGGATCTTTAATGTGTAAAGACAGGGATTTATAAGTGGGTTAAGGGAGAGAAAAAAGGTATGGCCTAAAGCAAGAGGATTAGTACTGAGTTTGAAGGACTTTGTGAGGGAGGGACAATGTCCAGTCTGCGAAGATTGGAGGTTCTAGATAAAGCTGATCATACTTTCTTCATGGGCAACCACGATGGGATGGATACTGAGAGGAGGGAGGTGGATATAACCACACAAAAGCAATATGTACATGAGGGAAGAGGGTAAAAGTTTTCAGGATGGGTTCTGCTAAGGGTCATTTCCTTGTTCTGGGATATCCTGTGAGTTTGGTGTGTGAATGAAGTATCCCTCATGGAAATATCAAGAGAATTTACCTGGCTTTGTCTCAAAGTCCATTAATTGTATTCATATTGGGTCATAGAAAAATTTAAGGTGGAGTTTTGTAAAGTAAAATGAGCAAAGATTATGTTTTCTGATTGAAATGAGGATAGTTTATTAAGAATTAATTGAGTATTGAGAGAAGGACTGGGATTGCTAGGGGAGAAGAGGACTCTTGCCTGGGTTCTTCAGCAGCAGACACCAATGATGGGTGAGAGAAAAGAACCTAGGAACATTCTGCAAGAGACATGTTCTTCTCCACAATGGTCCTGTCATGTGTAACCGGGCAGTTGATGATAGTGTGAAATTTCTATTGGCTGGCTGTCAGGGTCGAGTAGATACTGGCCATATGTTTGGAAGGCTGGGTACTCTCCACACTCTGAGTGACTGAAGGGGCATCTGCCTTCCAAGCCACAGTCACATCACTAGGGTAGAAGTCATTCATCAGATACACCAGTGTGGTAATTTTGGTCTGGAGCTCCTCAGAGGAGGGCGAGAAGAGTGACTGAAGGAGCAGCCCTGAGCTGACCTGCATTGTGAGAAATGAGTAGGTTAGGGACCTGGTGTCCACCCAGGAGCCACTGACCTGTTTTCTGAGGAGGGATTTGGGTTCATAGGCTCAATGGAGCCCCTTTTACATGCACTGTTCTTTTAGCACTAATGAGGCAGAATTAGGCTGGGGAATTCCTCCCAGTACTTCCTGTGTGCTATGGATTTATGAGCCTGGACACACAGCATCATATCTCTTAGAATCTTCCTCGATATTATCCTCTCACACACATGTCTGATCCTCACATGTTTGGCTCCTCCAGACATCATTCCCAGATTAGCTACAATCTGAGTTGTTCATACTTGTGTGCTCCCTCCAGGGCCAACTCTGACAGCTGTATTAGGGCATTAGTTTTTATTGTAAGAAGCCTGTTTATACCACATGTGCTTCAGATGAGTTGCTGCAGGGAGGTCTTAGCCATTACTCATCACAGCATGTCTTCCTCACCTGACTCCTCCCCTGCAGCAGAAATGGGTTAGGTAGCCCTCTCCATAAGTCTGAGCCACAGGCTCATCTGAAATCTCAGAGATGCATGATTTAGGCACCCTGCCCTGCCATGTCCTTTAATCATCCTTTCGATCTCTAGCAAAGCATTCTCTTCCCTTCTACACTGCAAGTATCCCGAGTCCCAGGTTGGCTCCCTTCCCTGTCCATGGCTTCAGATGGAGGTTTGGGAATCATCCCACCTCCTAATATTTTTCCTATCCAAGATCCTGTGACCAAAAGCTCATGGGAATTTCTCTGACACTCTGGTCTGTGGTACCTCAACCTCAGTGGTGATCATTATCAACCTTTCTAAATTTACAGATCATTGCTCCTGCATTTCTGGTGTCTCTGTTCCCCACGAAGTGGAGCCACAATTTGACCTCTTAGGAAGCCTAGCAGACGGGCCTAAACTGAAAGGTGGAGAAGCAGGACAGAGCAGAATACATTTGAGAGACCAAAGTACCCAGTGAGAAAGATTAAAGTTAAGAACACAGAAAGTTGAGTCACAGTAGGTCATTTTCTCCAGTGTTCTGACTCTGTAGTCAGAAGAGAAACCGGTTTTGTTGACAAGTTGAGGAAAGCAGAAAGAGGCTGTAGAGGAAGGAAGAATTTAGTGTGCCAAATAAAGATCCAGGGAGACTGAATGAACCCAGGCAGTGATGAGACACAGGACAAGAACAAAAACAGTAAAATATTTTCTCAAACCTGGGGGAAAACAGAAAAGAAGGGGATAGGATTCAATTACCTAGGATGGTCAGTCTTGTCCCTTCACTAGACACCAAACACTGGGGCATAGACTACTGCAAAAACTCTTCGCATCTCAACCTCCACAGCCCTTCACAGTCACCAACTGCAGATATGCTGCAGGCAGCCCTGATGGTCCTAAGAAACTTGCATGGCAAGAAGGTGACCTCACTGAGATTTGATCTGTGTGTGGTGACTTTCTTGGAAGAAGCTGCCTGTCAGGAAAATTGCCCTACCAAATTGTCAACTGTTCCTTTCCATCCACTACATGAAAGAACTACTTTGCAGAAAATAAAGAAGCAGACAGAAATGCTTTATGACAGCTTGGAGAGGCAGTTGACTCCATGGGAACCATGACATATAAAAGGATTGCCATCTCTGCTCCTTGATTTTTCCCCTTGGCTAGGAACTAGGGGAGTGATCTGGGCACCTAGATCCATATAGTCCACAAGTCAACAGCACACCTAGGTATCAAAATTTCAAGCATCAGTCTATCTTTTTACACACAAAGTAACAAAATACCAGCCTAAAAAACACTGTGAACCCATGATATTTGTGGACATTTGATGGCAACTTGACTGTTTCTCAAAATAAAAAATTTTCCTTATTTGTTTTTAGGTATGATAGGTTTTCCAAGTTTTTTTTTTTTTTTTACTTCTTATTTTCAGGACTGTAGCTCAGCATTTAGAGATTTTAAGATATGATGTCTAAGAAAACCTGTAATGGTGTTTTATGTTGTAGCTGGATCAAATACAAGTAGTGAACTGAGTTCAAAGGCTGGTTAATAGGGAAATAGGGCATTTAGTACTTTTCTGTGTCCTGGTTTTTGTTATCCCAATTCTTTTTAGAAAAATGAAAACTTATACCAAAAGGAAAAGAAAGTTTCTTTCTTGTTAGTAGATTGGGATGGGTGGACTTGGAATCACCCCAAGGAGAGCCAATGAAAAGAGGAGGACCAGGGTCCCATACTACTGCTTTGGGTCACATATTTAACTTCCATAAAATGGAGTCACACAGATGTTGCTGAAAATAAATTCCCAAATATTCCTTCTAGTTCAGAGCCTTGTGTTTTTGCTGATGTGAGTGTAGGTCAAATATAGTTACCTTTCTGTCTACTTTCCTCTGTTGAGAAACATCTCTGGCTTGACAGGTACTGTTTTAGGCTGATTGGTCCACCCAGGAGCTCTGTTGAAATCAGCACTAATGTCCCTGATGAGATATGGTGTTCACAAGTTCTGGAGACTGTGGAACCCAAAAATGTTGAATAGAGCTTGTGTCACTGAAAGCAGAACTTGCGGGTGTTAGGGACAGCGCCTGACATCAGTCTGAGGTGCACATCTGAATTCAGCTACACATGAGAGGATGTGGGAATGTATATTTGGGGGACTTGTACAGTTAAATCTCTTTTACTAAGCACTTTGTCAGCCTGAGGATGTCCAGTGACCCTCAATCTGAATTACACTTTGTAACCTCAACAACCAACACATAATGCTGCTTTATTCACTGAGACAATTTTTTCATACAAATGCAAAGACTGGTTATGACCAGGCTCCAGCATTAATTGACCTCATATACACATTATCCTTAGTCTGACCACAGCTGTCAAACCCAACCTGCTTCATAATCCAAGTTCGTGCTAGTATTCACTTGGACTACAACCTGAGCACCCAACCATCAGAACATACATGGATCTCCTCTGTGTGCATCGGCCTCATCTCACTTCCTTGCACAAGTGACCATGACCACCTTCATCCTGAGGAAGATATACAGGGCCACTAAGTTGCTTTGAAAAATCAACAAGGTTCTGTACTTGTTAGTGATATTACAATAATTGCTTTCCTACTGCAGAAAAGGTTGTCCACACTACTTAGCCAATGAGCATTGTGATAGACTTGTAAATGCCAATGATTTCCACTGTCAATCCTTAAGAGGAGTCCCTGATAAGTGGGTAGCCATAGTTCATTAATCTGGTTATTCCTTTCCTTCTGATCCCTCATAAAGAACAGAGAATTTCATTCTCTACTACTTGATCATGGCCTTGGTTTAGGGGCTGTTTGAAAGTTCCTTCTAGCAGCCCACTGCTAGACCCATTGGAATCCTTCAATTACTTTAACACCATATCAGTACCCAGCAACCATATTTCCTTAAGTCCTTTTGCATTCACCAGTTGACAAGTGATGTATTCCAAGTGCCATTCTGCAAGATCAACATCCTGCTCTGTATCACAATTCTCATGACTATAGTGAGTTCAGCTAGACCATGATGGGTTGTGTTGATTTCAAGTTGGGCCAGTGAGATGACCTCAAGTGTCCCTTAGAATTGCCTCTTCAGCCATGATTCAGACATAACTAGGAGATAATAAATCTTGGTTGAGGTATGACTGGGTCTTTATTGAGGAAATTATAATTGAGAAAATGTGAGAACCAGTTGGTTTGTGATTTCCTGACGGTGGGATTCCTGAAGGTACTGAATACCTAATGAAAGTGAAACAGGTTTAGAAAAGCACTTCCAAACATGAGGTCCCAAGATATGCTCACAAATGCAGCCTATGCTCCACTGGCTGTGAGGATACCCTCTTTCCCAAAGGAGGACCTGAAGTAATTGAATATTAAATATGAAATAAAAACAAATGAGACAGAGTAGGATTTTTGATAGACAATCAGTATTTTATTGAGCAGTCATTGTGATCAGAGGGAAGGACTTGGAGTGCTAGGGATAGGAGATGGGGCACCTTCTGGGGACCTTCGGTGTCAGTCCCTGAGAGTGGGTTTAGCGATGGGTACCTAGGAACACTCGGAAGCAGACACGCTCTTCTCCACGGTTTTCCCTTGATGTGTGACCTGGCAGGTGACTGCTTTGAAACTTTTCCACTGGTCCGGTGTAACGGTCAGGTAGCTGCTGGCCACATACTTGCTGTTGGTCTGTTTGGAAGACTTGGTGGTCTCCACACCCTGAGTGACAGGATTTCCATCTGCCTTCCAGGCCACAGTCACATCACTGGGATAGAAGTCACTCATCAGACACACCAGTGTGGCCTTTTTGGTCTGGAGCTCCTCAGCAGAGGGTGGGAAGAGAGTGACTGCAGGGGCAACCGTTGGCTGACCTGCATTGTAAGAAAGAAGTGTAGGTTAGAGATGTGGTGTCCACCTTGGAGCCACTGAACTCCTCTGTGAGGAAGGATTTGGGTTATTGGGAACTAAGTGGCCCTTCTACCTTCACTTTCCTTTCAGCACCTACTAGGCAGAGTTAGGTTGTGGAACTCCTCCAAGTACTTCGTGTACAATGTATGTATGAGCCACGACACAGAGCATCATCTCCCCTTGAAACATCCTGGATGTTATCCTCTCACAAACATGTCTGATCCTCACACCTTTCGCTCATCTGGACATCATTTCCAGACTATTTATAATTTGTCTGCCCTCTGAATTGACTTTAACTCTATGTGCTCCCTACTAGGGCCAATTCTGACATCTGTACTACTGCATTAGTTTTTACCGTAAGGAGACTGTATATACCACATATGCTTCTGAAGAGCTGCTGCATAGGGGTGTTTGCCTTTACTTATCATAGCATTTATCTTCCTGCATTGTGCCTTCTCTTTCATCGAAAACAGGTTAGGGAGCCCTCTCCATAAACCTGATCTCTAGGATTTCTGCATTGCCACTTGCTCATCAGAAATCTGAGATGCATGCTTTCTGAGCTGTGTGTGCTGAGAATTAGGAGGACTCCTGCTCTAACATGTCCTTCAGTTACCCTTCTGATCTCTTCCCTTTTCCATGAGAAGTATCTTGAGTCCCAGTTTTGCAGCCTTCCCTGTCCGTGGATGCAGATGATGGCTTGAGGACAGCTCTTCCTACACCCTTTTTTCTTATCCTGGATCTTGTAATCTACAGCAAATGGTAATCACTCTGGCACTCTAATGATTGGTTCCCCAGCCCCAGTAATGATTGCCCTTGGTCATTCTAAATTTACACATTGGTACTCCATCGTTTCATGTGTCCCAGTTCCCCATGAAATGAACTTTCAAGTTAAATTCTTAGGAAGCCAAGAGGACAGACATAAACTGAAAGGAGGAGGAGGACATAGCTGTGTAGGTTAGAAAGACCAACGTGCCATGCAGAAAGATAACAGACAGCAAAACAGAAAGTTGAGTCATAGTATTTGCTTCATACCCCTGCCTTTGGAATCAGAAGAGAAAGAGGTTTTTTTACAAACTGAGGTTAGCGGGAAAGATCTGAAGAGGGAGAGAAGAATTCAGTCTGACAAATAAAGATCTGGGGAGACTAAATGTACCCAAGCAGCTATAAGACACAGGACAAGAAGAAAAACAACAAATAATTTTCTCAAACCTGGGGGACATCAGGAAAGAAGGGGAAAGGTTTCACTTACCTAAGACGGTCAGCTTGGTCCCTCCGCCGAACACAATACACTATGACACAGACTAATGCAAAAACTCCTCACTTCTCCCCTTCAACAATCCCTCGCAGTCCCCAACTGCAGCTGTGCTGCAGCCACCCCTGATAGTCCTGTGCGACGTGCATGGCAAGGTGACCCCATTGAACCATAGTCAGTGAATGGTGACTTTCTTAAAAGAGGCTGCCTGTCTGGAAAATTGTCCCAGCAAAATGTCAACTGTTTCTTTCTATCATCTATATGGATGAACTACCTTGTAGGAAGTAGAGAAGCAGACAGAAGTGTTCTATGACAGCTTGGAGGGGCAGTTTACTCCTTGAGAACCATGACATGTAAAAGGATTGCCAGCTCTGCTCCTTCATTTTCCTCCAGGCCTGGAACTAGGGGAGTGGTTTTGGCACCTGTATCTATATATTCCATAAGTCAATACCAAACCTAGGTATCAAAAATTCAAACATCATTTTCATGTTTTTACACACAAATAACAATATACAAACACCTCCGTACAAAACGCTGTGGTTCTGTGACATTTTTGGATATTTCCTGGCAACGTGAATATTTTCTCAAAGCAAGGAAATTTTTTGGATTTTTTTTAAGATTGGTTGAGCTTTCTGGGTACTTTTACTTCTTATTTTTCAGGATTGTCACTCAGCATTTAGATAGAAAATAAGATGCCTGAAAAAACTTCTAGTGGTGTATAGGAGGAGTTTTTATGATGTCATTGTACCAAGTCCAAGTGGTAAACTAAGTTTCAGAACCTGGTGACTAGAGAAATAGGGAGATTAGTAATTTTCCTTCTTTTGATTTTTTGTTCATAATACTTTTTAGAAAAATAGTCTTAATGCAAAAGAATGAGCAGGTTTCTTTCTATTTAGCCGACTGTCATGGAGTGGATATTAAAACACACCAAGGAGAGTCATGAGAAGTAACTAGTGTCCTCCGCCCCTTCAGGTCCCAGATTTGCCTCCATTAAATGGATTCATAGAGATTTTTTTGAACATTAATTCCTCAAATTTTCTCTAGTACACAGGCTTGTATTTGTATTGGTGTGGCCCTACTCAAGCTCTAGTATAGTCTCCTTTTTGTCTACCGCAATGTTGAGTAACATCCTAGGCTTGACACATGCTCCACCGAGGAGCTCTGTTGAGACAGCTTTCATGTCTCTGATCAGATAGAGATCAGGATGTTCACATGTTCTGGACACTGTGGAAACAAAGTGTTGAAGAGATCTTGGACAATGGAAGGCACAACATGCCTGTGTATTAGAATGAGGCACACCAGGATTTAGATACACATAAGTGGATGTAAGCATCTGTATTGATGGATTGGTACAGTTGAATGTGTATTTCTGAACACCTGGCCAGTCTACAGTTTCCCTGTAAACCTCAATTTGACTTCCACTTTGTAACCTCAACAACCAACACACTAGTGCTGAATTCTTTACTGCAATAACTGTTTTTTGTTTGTTTCTTTTTTCAAAAAAATGAGGAGTCTCTTTATGATCAGGATCCAGCCTTAACCAAACTGAGACATACTATACAGTGTCAAGTCCATGTATTATCTGCTGTTTCATAGGCAGGCTTGTGCTAACATTCTCTTGAACCACAACCCCACCTCACACCCATCAGATCACACATGGGTCTCTTCTGTATACATGAGCTTCATCTCATTTCCTTGTATAGGTAACCATGAACACCTTTGTCCTGAGGAGTATTACAGGGCCAGGAATTTGCGTGGGAAAAGAAACAGGATTCTGTACTTGTTGGTGACATTACAATAACTATTTTCTTATTTCAAAACATGTCATCCACTTTACTAGCAGATGAGCATTGTGGTGCACTTGGAAATGTTCCATTTGTTCCCTTGTCAGTCCTTTCCAGGAATCCCTGATAAGAGGGTCACTGATGACCCTTCATCTGCTTAATCCTTTACCTTCTGATCCCTCAAAAGAACACAGAATTTCAGTCTCTGATATTGATCATGACCCTTTTTGAGTGGCTGCTAGAGAGTTACTGCAGTAGCCTACCTCTGGACACTCTAGAAAAGTTCATTTATCATTACCTCATCAGTGTCCTGCAACTCTGATTTCTTAAGTCCTTTTGCATGCGCCAGTTGGCAAGTGCTGTATTCCAGGTGCTGTTCTGCAGGAATAATTCCGCTATGGATCACAGTCCTCACCACTATAAAGAGTTCAGCTGAGACCTGGGAATAGTTATGATTTGATGATTGCTAGTGAGGTGATTTCAGATTAGAAATGTCCTGGATCCTTAGCAGTGCCCTTTCACCCCAGAGCCCTGGGTAGACATAAACGGGAGGTTACAGATCTTGGTTGAGGTATGATTGGGTCTTTATTGAGGTAATTATTCTGAAGGAAAATGTGAGAACCAGTTAGATTGAGATTTCCTGATGGTGGGTTCATGAGGGTAGCATATAGTTCTATAAGTAAAATTGGTTAAGAAAAGCACTTTCAACATGAGGTCCCAAGAAATGCTAACAGTAGCATCCTATGCTCCACTTGCTGCCAGGATACTCTATCACCTACAAAGAAGGCCTAAAGAAATTGAATATTAAATATGAAATTTTTAAAAATGAAGCAGAGTAGGATTTTTGATAGACAATCAGTATTTTATTGAGCAGTCATTGTGATCAGAGGGAAGGACTTGGAGTGCTAGGGATAGGAGATGGGGCACCTTCTGGGGACCTTCGGTGTCAGTCCCTGAGAGTGGGTTTAGCGATGGGTACCTAGGAACACTCGGAAGCAGACACGCTCTTCTCCACGGTTTTCCCTTGATGTGTGACCTGGCAGGTGACTGCTTTGAAACTTTTCCACTGGTCCGGTGTAACGGTCAGGTAGCTGCTGGCCACATACTTGCTGTTGGTCTGTTTGGAAGACTTGGTGGTCTCCACACCCTGAGTGACAGGATTTCCATCTGCCTTCCAGGCCACAGTCACATCACTGGGATAGAAGTCACTCATCAGACACACCAGTGTGGCCTTTTTGGTCTGGAGCTCCTCAGCAGAGGGTGGGAAGAGAGTGACTGCAGGGGCAACCGTTGGCTGACCTGCATTGTGAGAATGAAGAGTAAGTTAGAGACATGGTGTCCACCTTGGAGCCACTGAACTGTTCTGTGAGGAAGGATTTGGGTTATTGGGATCTAAGTTGCCCTTTTACCATCATTTTTCTGTCAGCACCTACTAGGCAGAGTTAGGTTGTGGAACTCCTCCAAGTAAATCGTGTACAATTTATGTATGAGCCACGACACAGAACATCATCTCTCCTGGATGTTATTCTTTCACAGACGTGTCTGATTTTCACATGTTTTGCTCATCTGGACATAATTTCCAGAATATCTACAATTTGTCTGCCCTCTGAATCGACTGTAACTCTTATGTGCTCCCTACTAGGGCCAATTCTGACATCTGTACTACTGCATTAGTTTTTAACTTAAGGAGACTGCACATACCACATGTGCTTCTGATGAGCTGCTTCATAGGGGTATTTGCCTTTATTTATCATAGCATAGATCTTCCTGGATTGTGCCTTCTCCTTCAGCAATAACAGGTTAGGGAGCCCTCTCCATAAACCTGATCTCTAGGATTTCTGCATTGCCACTTTCTCATCAGAAATCTCAGAGATTCATGCTTTCTGAGCTGTGTGTGCTGAGAATTAGGAGGACTCCTGCTCTAACATGTCCTTCAATTACCCTTCTGATCTCTTGCCTTTACCATGGGAAGTATCCTGACTCCCTGTTTTGTAGCCTTCCCTATCCATGGCTGCAAAAGTTGGCTTGAGGACCACTCTTCCTATCCCCTTTTTTCTTACCCTGGATCCAATGATCTAAAGCCAATGATAATCACTCTGATACTCTGATGATTGGTTTCCCAGCCCCAGTAATGATTGCCCTTGGTCATTCTAAATTTACACATTGGTACTCCATAATTTCCTTTGTCCCAGTTCCCCATGAAATGAACTCTCAATTTAAATTCTTAGGAAGCCAAGAGGACAGACATAAACTGAAAGGAGGAGGAGGACATAGCAGTATAGGTTAGAGAGACCAACATGCCGTGCAGAAAGATAACAGACAGCAAAACAGAAAGTTGAGTCATAGTATTTGCTTCATACCCCTGCCTTTGGAATCAGAAGAGAAAGAGGTTTTTTTTACAAACTGAGGTTAGCGGGAAAGATCTGAAGAGGGAGGGAAGAATTCAGTGTGGCAAATAAAGATCTGGGGAGACTAAATGTACCCAAGCAGCTATAAGACACAGGACAAGAAGAAAAACAACAAATAATTTTCTCAAACCTGGGGGACATCAGGAAAGAAGGGGAAAGGATTCACTTACCTAGGACGGTCAGCTTGGTTCCTCCGCCGAACACAGCACACTATGACACAGACTAATGCAAAAACTCCTCACTTCTCCCCTTCAACAATCCCTCGCAGTCCCCAACTGCAGCTGTGCTGCAGCCACCCCTGATAGTCCTGTGCGACGTGCATGGCAAGGTGACCCCATTGAACCATAGTCAGTGAATGGTGACTTTCTTAAAAGAGGCTGCCTGTCTGGAAAATTGTCCCAGCAAAATGTCAACTGTTTCTTTCTATCATCTATATGGATGAACTACCTTGTAGGAAGTAGAGAAGCAGACAGAAGTGTTCTATGACAGCTTGGAGGGGCAGTTTACTCCTTGAGAACCATGACATGTAAAAGGATTGCCAGCTCTGCTCCTTCATTTTCCTCCAGGCCTGGAACTAGGGGAGTGATTTGGGCACCTGCATCTATGTATTCCATAATTCAATACCAAACCTAGGTATCAAAAATTCAAACATCATTTCCATGTTTTTACACACAAATAACAATATACAAACACCAAACACCACCCTACGAAACGCTGTGGTCCTATGACATTTGTGTACATTTCCTGGCAACATGAATATTTTCTCAAAGCAAGGAAATTTTTTGGATTTTTTTTTAAGATTTGATGAGCTTTCTAGGTATTTTTACTTCTTATTTTTCAGGATTGTCACTCAGCATTTAGATAGAAAATAAGATGCCTGAAAAAACTTCTAGTGGTGTATAGGAGGAGTTTTTATGATGTCATTGTACCAAGTCCAAGTGGTAAACTAAGTTTCAGAACCTGGTGACTAGGGAAATAGGGAGATTAGTAATTTTCCATCTTTTGTTTTTTTTGTTCATAATACTTTTTAGAAAAATAGTCTTAATGCAAAAGAATGAGCAGGTTTCTTTCTATTTAGCCGACTGTCATTGAGTGGATATTAAAACACACCAAGGAGAGTCATGAGAAGTAACTAGTGTCCTCCGCCCCTTCAGGTCCCAGATTTGCCTCCATTAAATGGATTCATAGAGATTTTTTTGAACATTAATTCCTCAAATTTTCTCTAGTACACAGGCTTGTATTTGTATTGGTGTGGCCCTACTCAAGCTCTAGTATAGTCTCCTTTTTGTCTACCGCAATGTTGAGTAACATCCTGGCCTTGACACATGCTCCACCAAGGAGCTCTGTTGAGACAGCTTTCATGTCTCTGATCAGATAGAGATCAGGATGTTCACATGTTCTGGACACTGTGGAAACAAAGTGTTGAAGAGATCTTGGACAATGGAAGGCACAACATGCCTGTGCATTAGAATGAGGAACACCAGGATTTAGATACACATAAGTGAATGTAAGCATCTGTATTGATGGATTGGTACAGTTGAATGTGTATTTCTGAACACCTGGCCAGTCTACAGTTTCCCTGTAAACCTCAATTTGACTTCCACTTTGTAACCTCAACAAGCAACACACTAGTGCTGAATTCTTTACTGCAATAACTGTTTTTTGTTTGTTTCTTTTTTCAAAAAAATGAGGAGCCTATTTATGATCAGGATCCAGCCTTAACCAAACTGAGACATACTATACAGTGTCAAGTCCATGTATTATCTGCTGTTTCATAGGCAGGCTTGTGCTAACATTCTCTTGAACCACAACCCCACCTCACACCCATCAGATCACACATGGGTCTCTTCTGTATACATGAGCTTCATCTCATTTCCTTGTATAGGTAACCATGAACACCTTTGTCCTGAGGAGTATTACAGGGCCAGGAATTTGCTTGGGAAAAGAAACAGGATTCTGTACTTGTTGGTGACATTACAATAACTATTTTCTTATTTCAAAACATGTCATCCACTTTACTAGCAGATGAGCATTGTGGTGCACTTGGAAATGTTCCATTTGTTCCCTTGTCAGTCCTTTCCAGGAATCCCTGATAAGAGGGTCACCAGTGACCCTTCATCTGCTTAATCCTTTACCTTCTGATCCCTCAAAAGAACACAGAATTTCAGTCTCTGATATTGATCATGACTATTGTTGAGTGGCTGCTAGAGAGTTCCTGCATTAGACTACCTCTGGACACTCTAGAAAAGTTCATTTATCATTACCTCATCAGTGTCCTGCAACTCTGATTTCTTAAGTCCTTTTGCATGCGCCAGTTGGCAAGTGCTGTATTCCAGGTGCTATTCTGCAGGAATAATTCCCGCTATGGATCACAGTCCTCACCACTATAAAGAGTTCAGCTGAGACCTGGGAATAGTTATGATTTGATGATTGCTAGTGAGGTGATTTCAGATTAGAAATGTCCTGGATCCTTAGCAGTGCCCTTTCACCCCAGAGCCCTGGGTAGACATAAACGGAGGTTACAGATCTTGGTTGAGGTATGATTGGGTCTTTATTGAGGTAATTATTCTGAAGGAAAATGTGAGAACCAGTTAGATTGAGATTTCCTGATGGTGGGTTCATGAGGGTAGCATATAGTTCTATAAGTAAAATTGGTTAAGAAAAGCACTTTCAACATGAGGTCCCAAGAAATGCTCACAGTAGCATCCTATGCTCCACTTGCTGCCAGGATACTCTATCACGTACAAAGAAGGCCTAAAGAAATTGAATATTAAATATGAAATTTTTAAAAATGAAGCAGAGTAGGATTTTTGATAGACAATCAGTATTTTATTGAGCAGTCATTGTGATCAGAGGGAAGGACTTGGAGTGCTAGGGATAGGAGATGGGGCACCTTCTGGGGACCTTCGGTGTCAGTCCCTGAGAGTGGGTTTAGCGATGGGTACCTAGGAACACTCGGAAGCAGACACGCTCTTCTCCACGGTTTTCCCTTGATGTGTGACCTGGCAGGTGACTGCTTTGAAACTTTTCCACTGGTCCGGTGTAACGGTCAGGTAGCTGCTGGCCACATACTTGCTGTTGGTCTGTTTGGAAGACTTGGTGGTCTCCACACCCTGAGTGACAGGATTTCCATCTGCCTTCCAGGCCACAGTCACATCACTGGGATAGAAGTCACTCATCAGACACACCAGTGTGGCCTTTTTGGTCTGGAGCTCCTCAGCAGAGGGTGGGAAGAGAGTTTTTATTATCAATTTGGGCAATTTTACAGTCATTTTTCTGTCAGCGCCTACTAGGCAGAGTTAGGTTGTGGAACTCCTCCAAGTTCTCCATGTGTGCCATGTATTTATGAGCCTGGCCACAGAGCATCATCTCTCCTTGAACCTTCCTGGATGTTATCCTCTCACAAACATGTCTGATCCTCACACCTTTCGCTCATCTGGACATCATTTCCAGACTATCTACAATTTGTCTTTCCTCTAATGTTTATACCTCTTGTGTGCACCCTATTATGGCCAATTCTGGTGTGTGTACTAGTGCATTATGTTGTAATGAAAGGAGCCTGTGTATACCAAATGTGCTTCTAATGAGCTGCTACAAAGTGGTCCTTACCTTTACCCATCATCGAAAGTCTTCCTTACCTGATCCTTCTCCTTCAGCAAAACAGTTTGTGAACCCTCTCCATAAGCCTGATCTCTAGGTTTCTGCTTTGCCACCTGGTTGTCAGTGATCACAAAAATGCGTGCTTTCTGATCTGTGTATGTTTTAGAGAATTGAGAAGCCCCTTGCCCCACCATTTCTTTCAGTCACTCTTCTGATCTCTACAGATCACTCTCTTCTCTTATCCACTGAAAGTGTCCTGAACCTTTGGTTGGATTCCTTCCCTGTCCATGATTGCAGATGGCAGCTTGGGGACCACTCTACCTCCTCACTTTTTTGCTACCCTTTTTCCTGTGCAAAAAGCCCATGGGAATTACTCTGACACTCTGATGTGTGGTCACCCTGCCTTACTTGTGATTGTTTTTGGTCTTTCTAAATTAATGCATTGTTACTTCATCTTTGTCCTGTATCTCTATTCTCCAGGACAGGCTCTCAATTTAACCTCTTAGGAATCCTAGCACACAGACATAACCTTAAGCGTAAAGAAGGAGGACAAAGCAGTGTACATTAGAGAGACCAATATGCCCAGAAAGAAAGATTACAGTCAGAAACAGAGAGCAGAGTCACAAAAAGTCATTTGCTTCAGTCTCCTGCCAGTAGAGTCAGAAGAGAAAGGGGTTTTGCTGACAAACTGAGACAAGCAAAAAGTGTTGCAAAAGGGAGGGAAGAATTCAGTCTGCCAAATAAAGATCCAGGGAGACTAAATGTACCCAGGCAGCTACAAGACATAGTACAAGAACAAAAACATCAAAACATTTTTCTCAAACCTGGGAATAACAGGAAAGAAGGGAACAGGATTCACTTACCTAGGACGGTCAGCTTGGTCCCTCCGCCGAATACCCAACACTGTGACACAGACTCATGCAAAAACCCCACTTCTCCCCTCCACCAGTCTTCACAGTCGCCAACTGCAGCTGTTCTGGAGGCAGCCCTGATGGTCCTGGGCAACCTGCGTGGCAAGAATGTGACCTCACTGAGGGATTACGAGTGCATTGTGACTTTCTTTGAAAGGTCTGCCTGTGTGGAAAATTGCCCCCCAAAATGTGAGTTGTTCCTTTACTTCATCTATGGATGAACTAGTTTACAGGAAATAGAGAAGCAGAGAGAAATGCTCTGTGAAAGCTTGAAGAAGCAGTTGACTCCACGGGAACCATAGCATATAAAAGGATTGCCACTTCTGCTCCTTGAGCTTTCCCCTTTCTAGTAAATGGGGGTGGGGGGAGTGTGAGCTGGAACTTAGATCTGTAAATTCCACAAGTCAACAATGCACCTATGTATCAACATTTCAAACATCATTCCATCTTTGTACACACAAAGTAATAATCCCTAAACACCTGCCTAAAAAACACTCTGCACTGATGTTTGGAGACATTTGATAGCAACTTACTAGTTTCTCATAAGAAGGAAATTTTCTCGCTACATTTTTTTAAGTTTGAGGGGCTTTCTAGATATTTTTACTTCTTATTTTTCAGGATTGTCACTCAGCATTTAGAGATTGTAATACATGCTGTCTGAAAAAAAAGAACTTCTATTGGTGGGTGGGAGAAAATTTATGTTGTGATTGAATCAAATCCAACTAGTAAACTGAGTTTCTGAAGCTGGCTAATAAGGGAAAGGGATATTAGTAATTTTCATTCTCTTGAGTTTTTGTTCCCAATTCTTTAAAAAAAACTTAAAGCCCAAGAATAAGTAGGTTTTGTTTCTGGTTAGTAGAATGAGATGGGGTGAATGTTATGATCACGCCAAGGACACCCAATGACAAAAGGCTACAAGGGTTGTCCACTGCCCTTTGGGTTCCAGAATTCACATCCATTAAATGGAGTTGGACAGAGGTTGTTGAACATAAATTCCCAAATTTTCTATCTCAGCAGCTTCTGTTTGTTTTGGTTACTGTACTCAAGCTCCAATATATTTTTTCTCTCTATCCCACTGTTCAGAAACCTCCCTGGCTTGACAACTGCTGTGCTGGGATGGTTGGTCTGCCAAGGAGCTCTGTGAGAGCAGTTTTCATGTCTGTGATTAGCTAAAGATCATGGTGTTCACATGTTCTTCCTCTGTGGAAACAGAGATTTGATTAGGCCTTTGACCACTGAAGGCAGAAATTGCCTGTGACAGGAACTGAGTCTGACATTAGTCTGAGGTTCACACCAGGATTCAGATACACATGAGAGGATGTGAGCATGTGTATTTGGGGACTGGTACAGTTGAGTCTGTTTTTCTGTGCACCTGGTCAGCCTATAGATGTCCAGTAACCATCAATCTGACTTCCATTTTGTAACCTCAACAACTATCAGAGTGCTGCTGAATGCTTCACTGACACAGCTTTTTTTCAGACAAATGCCAAGACTGTTTATGATCAGGCTCCAGCTTTAACCAACCTTAGACAGTGTCTACAGTTGCCTACAGCTATTAGGATCCATCATGTTTCAGTACCCAGGCTTGTGCTAGCTTTGGCCTGGACCACAACCTGAACACACAATAATCAGGTTGTCCATGGATCTCCTGTGTATGCACTGGTCTCATGTTATTTCCTTGCACAGGTTACCATGCACACCTTTGTCCTGAGGAGTATTAACAGGACCACTAAGTTGCTGTGGAAAACCAAAAGGATGCTGCTCTTGTTAGTGATATTATAATAACTGTTTTCTTACTGCGTGTCATCCATATTACTTAGCAGATGAGCATTGCGATAGATTTGAAAATGCCACTGTTTGTTCCACTCTCAGTCCTTTACAGAAGTCCCTGATAAGTGGATAGCCATTTGGTCCTTCATTTGATCATTCCTTTCCTTTCTGTTCCCCAATAAAGAACATAGCATTTCAATCTCTGATCCTTGACTTGGCCTTGGTTGAAGGGGCTGCTAGAAATTTCCTGCTAGCACCCCACAGCTGGATTCTTCATTTATCTTCATCTCATTTCAGAGTCTACCAACTATGTTTTTTTATATCCTTTTCCATTCAGCTGTTGGCAAGTTCTGCATCCCAGGTGCCATTCTGCAGGGACAACTTCCTGCTCTGGATCACAGTCCCCCCAAGTATAGAGAATTCAGCTGAGACCTTGTCGGTCATGTTGATTTGACAATATGCTAATTACATGATCTCCCATTAGAATTTCCCTTGTTTCTCAGTATTGCTCTTTCAGCCTAGAGTCCTGAGTAGACATAAATAGGAGATTACAAATCTTGGTTGAGGTGTGATTGGGTCTTTATTGAGGTAATTATAATTGAGGAGAATGAGAGACCCTGTTGGATTCTGTTTTCTCTACTGGGGCTCATGAGGGTAATGTATACTTGATGAAAGTGAAACTAGTTAGGAAAAGCCCTTTCAACCACGATGTCCCAAGAGGTGCTCACAGTGGCAACCTATGCTCCACTGGCTGCCAGGATACCCTCCTTCCCAAAAGGAGGACTGAAGTCATAGAAAATATGAAATAAAAACAAATGAGGTACAGAAGTATTTATGATAAATAATCAGTATTTTATTGTGCATTCATCACATTCAGAGGGAAGTACCAGAAAAGCTTGGAGTATAAGAGCCACCTTCTGGGTATGTTCAGTGTCAGCCACTGAGCATGTGGTGAGTATTGGAGAGCTAGGAACACTCTGAAGTGGACACAGTCTTATCCACAGTATCCACAGTGCTCCCTTCAGTGTGACTTGGCAGGTCTCTAATTCCACTTCTGTGGGGCCAGGGTCAAGTATCTATTGGCCATGTACTTTTGTTGTTCTGTTTGTTGTAGGTCTTTCTAAATTTACTCATTGTCACTCCTTCATTGCTCTGTGTTCCTGTTCCCCATGAAATGGTGCTCAATTTAACCTCTTTTAAGCCCAGCATATATACAAGATGAAAGGGTGGGGACAGAGTAAAATACTTTTCAGAACCCAATATGCCCAAACTGAAAGACAGATAGACAGGAACATAGACATGTCAGTCTTAGTAGGTCACTGGGATCCATGCCTTGTCTTTGGGATTATAAGAGAAGTTGTTTTGTTGACAACCTAATTAAGAAGGAGGGTCTGAAGAGGAAAGGCAGCCTACAACTTTCTGGTCAAAATCTAGTGAGAAATCATGGCCTCAGGCATTGTCGGGACACAGGAAAAGAACAAAAACAGTCAAAATTTGTTTTAAACTTTGGGGGAACAGGAGACAAGGGGTAAAGATTCATATACCTAGGATGGCCAGTTATTCCCTCTACCAAAGAGTCCACATTCAAAATCCCCTCACATCCACCCACCAGCAATCTCCCACAATCTCCAGCTTCCACTGTGCTGGAGGCAGCCCTGAGGGTCCTTCAAAAACCTGTATGGGAGAATATTGACCTCATTGAAATGTGGCCAGTATATGGTGACTTTCTGAGATGGGTCTGCCTGTCTTCACCAAAATGGCAACTATTCCTTTCCATCCTCTAGAACTACTTTGAAAAAAAAATAGAAGTGTAGAGAGAAGAGGTTAGTGACAACTTGGGAGGAAGTGGGCTGCATAAGAATCATTAAATGTCATTGAATTAGCAGCTTAATTCCTTAATCTCCAGCCTGGCTAATAACAAAGGGATTCATCTGGGAAACCATATCTATAGATTCTGTCAGTTGAGAACACACATAGGTATCAAAATTTCAAACATCATTCCATATTTCTACAGAGTAATGAACAACCCAAAATATCACTAGCCTGAAAAATACTGTGTACTCATGACATTTGTGGACATTTGATGGAAGGAATTTTCCTTGATTTGTCTTTAGGCTTGATATGAACTCTAAGTATATTTACTTCTTACTTTTCAGGATAGAACCTCAACATTTAGAGATGGTAAGACATCATATCTGGAGAAATATTTTAATGGTGTAAGACCAGAGATTCTCTGTTGATTGGATCCAAAACTCTGGTGACCTAGATATTGGAGGCTGGCTGATAAGAAAATGGGGCCATAAGTAATTATCTGTCTCTTGATTTATGTGTTCCCGTTTCTCAGTAGAAAAGAAACTTATACCAAAATGATGAGGAGATTTGTTTCTGGGTAGTAGATTGGGATTGGATAGACTTTGGGATTATCTAAAGGAAAGCCACAGAAATGAGGGTATCCGGGATCCTCCACTATTCCTTTGGGTCACAGATTCCATTCCATTAACTAAAGTCGACAGATATTTTAGGACATAAATTGTTTAATCTCTTCTCTAGCTGAAAGGCTTGTGCTTGGATTGTTGTGTATAGGTTCAAGCTCCATGTAATCTCTTTTTTGTCTGTGCTTATGAGACAGTTCTCTGGACTTGAAGGTGCTGTCCTCAGCTGGTTGGATCAAAAGGAGCTCTGCTGATGGAATCTGGGATGTCCCTAATGGTCTAGAGTATATGGTGTCCACAATCTCTGCCTACTGTGGACTAACAAAGTTGGGCAAAACTTGGGCCACAGATAGCAGACTTTTTCTGCATCAGTGAATGTGCTAATATGAGTTTGAATTGCACACCAGGAATTAGATGCTCTTGATAGGCATGGACACATGGAGTGTGGGCTGGTACATTTGTATCTCTTTTTTTTTCATGAACACCTGGTCATACTACAGTTTCCAACTGATCATCATTCTTCCTTGATCTTTTATTATCTGACCCATACTCCAGCATTGACTTCAATACTGAAGCACCTTTTTTTTTTCAGATAAGACCAATGACTGATTATGACCAGGCTCTAGCTTTAACTAACCTTAGACACACTGTATCAGTAGGGTTGACTTTAGTTGTCTAGGCACTTGATATTTCAGATCCCAGGCTTGTGCTAGAATTCACTTAGGCCACAACCTGACATCACAACCATTAGATCATGCATGATGCTCTTCTGTGTGTATGAGCCTCATCTCATTTTTTGCATAAGTGATCATGCGAAATTCAACAGGATTTTGAACTTGTAGTGATATTGTGACAACTATTTTCTTACTGAATAGCATGTCAGCTACTTCATT